AATGCAAAAAATAAGAAACACCTAAAGAAAAAGAGAAGTTAATACACGTAACAAAAAAACAAAATAGTAAAAAAAAAACCGGTCTGATACTTATTCAAAGACCGGTTCTAGCCTTATTTTGTAGTACTTATCTGAAACAATGCAACGAAGTTGTAAAAGTGAAGCTTGTATACTTTGGTGCTTTCTTGCTTCTCTGCTTCGATGCTTTCTTGCTTTTCTGCTTTGATACTTCTTGCTTTTCTGCTTTAGTGTTTTCTTGCTTCTTTGCTTCAGTATATTTTTGTATATTTTGGTGCTTTCTTGTGTACTTTCTTGTGTCTGTGCTTCAGTGCTTTCTTGCATCTGTGCTTTAGTGCTTTCTTGCTTCTCTGCTTCAGTACTTCTTGCTTCTCTGCTTTGGTGCTTCTTGCGTGCTTTGGTGCTTTCTTGCGTGCTTTGATGCTTTCTTGCTTCTCTGTTTCGGTGTTTCTTGCTTCTCTGCTTCAGTGCTTTTTGTATGCTTTGGTGCTTTCTTGCGTCTGTACTTCAGTGCTTTTTGCTTCTCTGCTTTGGTGCTTTCTTGCTTCTCTGCTTCAGTGTATTCTTGCGTACTTTGGTGCTTTCTTGCGTCTGTACTTTGGTGCTTCTTGCTTCTTTGTTTCAGTGCTTCTTGCTTCTCTGCTTCGGTACTTCTTGTGTGCTTTGGTGCTTTCTTGCATTTGTGCTTCAGTACTTTTTACTTCTCTGCTTCAGTATATTCTTGCGTATTTTGGTGCTTCTTGTATACTTTGATGCTTTCTTGTGTCTGTGCTTCGGTGCTTTCTTGTGTCTGTACTTCAGTGCTTTCTTGCTTCTTTGCTTCAGTGCTTCTTGCTTCTCTGCTTCAGTGCTTTTTGCATGCTTTGGTGTTTTCTTGTGTCTGTGCTTCAATGTTTTTTGCTTCTCTGCTTCAGTACTTTCTTGCTTCTCTGCTTCAGTGCATTTTTGCGTACTTTGGTGCTTTCTTGCATCTGTGCTTTGGTGCTTTCTTGCTTCTCTGCTTCGGTGCTTCTTGCTTCTCTGCTTCGGTGCTTCTTGCATGCTTTAGTGCTTTCTTGCATCTGTGCTTTGGTGCTTTTTGCTTCTCTGCTTCAGTGCTTTCTTGCTTCTCTGCTTCAGTGCATTCTTGCGTACTTTGGTGCTTTCTTGCATCTGTGCTTTGGTGCTTCTTGCTTCTATGCTTTGGTGCTTCTTGCTTCTTTGCTTCGGTACTTCTTGCATCTTAACGTTGGTGATTTTGTAGTTTTAATTAGGATTTTTTTTTTTTTTTTTTTTTAAAAATAAAGTGCAAAGTTGGCACCAGATATATAGAAGTTATGATATCATTATGCAGTAATACTGTTTGACAAAAATAAATTAAATTGATGTATTGTTGATTTTTTTTTAAAAAATAAAAAATTTCGGGGTTCTCCAATATTAGATTCGCTCTTTTTTTTTGTTATTTGTTTTGTTATATGATATTTTTGGGGTGGTTGACTGATCAAAATCAGTCTCATGGATTACGTGTTCACTGATTTGCTCTTTATAAATTGGTGGTCACATAACTCACGTGATTGATTTTGATTGGTCGATCATGAGGTCACCATGGTAATGGGTCACCATAAAATAACGGCCTTAAATATATATTAATTTTGATTATTATTTTAAAATAATAAAAACTAATATTAAAGTTATTTTATAATTTAAATAAAATTTTATAAAAAAAAATTTTTGTTAAAGTGCAAGAACCTATTTTATAACCAAAATTTTTAGTTATTAGAAGTTTTTTAAAAACAAGACCAAATA